AAGGTCAAAATCGGGCATGAAGTTACAACTAGTGCACTGTTCAAGTGCTATTTATATTCTGAAATCTGGTGCACGAAAAATCCAATGAACTTTATTTTATTTTTATTTTCCTAGTTATATTAGAACTTTACTTCCTAGTTATAAAAACAATAAAAATCTACTTTTGGGGGGCACTATGGTAAATTTGGACCATATCCTACCTGCAAGGAAAAACTCACCCATTTATCCCATTTCACCCATGAGTCAAAATTATCCAGATTAGAAAGGTTTAAGTCAACTGTTCACTATGGCTGGGGAATTCAATTATTACTTTTATTATCTCATTCTTTTATTTTCCAACCAAATAAAGGATATGTGAGGACCCCGATTATTTATCCCCAATCCAACCCATTTAACCCCAATTATCCCGTGAAACAAACACTCTTGCGTCTCCTGATTATGCATTTGATGGGTGTTTCTTTATTTGCTAAGTTCTTGAGGCGTGATCATCATGTGCATCAAGTGGATCACTTGAAGTATTAGGTCCATCACTATTACTTCCCCTCAAACTAGACCGGGAACAAAGGCCAAGTTTGATTCGTAGTGGAATGAACTTCCCTTTAGACAAGGGCTTGGTGAAGATATTCGTGATTTGATCCAAGTAGTGAGAGTACCTAGAGCAACCTTCCCGCGTACATAATGGAAATCCAGCTCTATATGTTTTGTATGTGTAAGCCCCATGTATTTTTTTTGATTTATATTAGATGATTATATATTGTGTTGATTTATAATGAATTAAGGATGAATAAACTATGTAAATGGTGATTGTAAAAATCGTTGAAATATATTGAGAAAGTTGAGGTTTAGGGGTAATCACTTCTAGGGAAATGAAGTTAGTGAGAAACTAAACGTATTTAGATGAAAATAATATCAAAATTGGATTCAGAGCGTTAAAAAACCTTGGGATAGGTGATTTTGAAACACATATTTTTGGCAAATCCTGGTAAGAAAGATTTTGACACTACTTCAGTGCGTAGGCCATAACTTTGTACTACGAACTCCAATTGATCTGAATGTTGTGGAATTAGAAAATATACTTTAAGATCTACAAAAATCTATTCCATAGAAATTTCATGAATCGACTTTTAATTAGGTCAAGATGAGGTTGAAAGATTGAGTTAGGTTTCAGAATCTAGGAATTAGGGCAGAAAACCATTAGAAGCAGGAGATACTAGGAGCATTTCCATTCAAATGCAAGATTTTGCATTTGAATGCATGATGATGTGTTTGGACCCAAATCCCTCCATTCAAAAACAAATGCGTGATTTTGCCCGATCAAATCCACACTTGAACTGTCTTTTCACCCTACAAATACCCTAGGAGGGTTTTGAGACTATTTTACCTATTTTTCAACCCTAGGAAGCCCAGAGGATTTGGGAGAGAAGAAAAAAGTGAAATTCTCATGGATTAACATATAGGAATTACATCAAATGCATTAAGATTAGATAACTGTGGATTAAGGTAGGGTTTATTTCCCAATTCTTACTCATTGAGATTAGAGTTTATTATGTATATACACTTTTGATTCTAAATCTTAAATATATTATAGATAACAAAGATTTTGATTTCTTTTCAATCTTATGAATCGTTTTTGAATAAAATATATGATTTACATCCAAGATTTACTCGTTCTTGATTCAAAAATCTTAGTTCTTGATTATTCTCAACTTGGATATATCTTTTTTATGATCTCTTGCATGTTTTGATTAGATTACTATTCTATTTTGAGAATTTTGGAATTATGAATTGTGGTATTCGTGGATTTTATGAAAAAAAAAGTGTTATTATTTTCTCTTGTATGGATATGCGTGATGAACATGGGTTGCACTCGACCAGATATTATAGAATGTTTAGATAAGTTTTTTCACTTGAGGGGTTTAAAGGTTCTCTATCACTCGTAGTAATGTTACTTGAGTCATTGCGAGGGTTCAAGAATTCACACTATTCACTCACGTGGATTGAGGCAGAGGGTTAATAAATATATTATTCCTAGGAAGGTTTCTTCAATTCTGATTCCTAAAGTGGGTGTTGTGTAAATGCGGACAATGGATTTGATGATTGGGGTGGATGTGTGAACCAGATATAGTCGATGTGAGGAACAAGGTACAAAAGAAGTTTAAGACGAGAGGTTACACCATCAAGGTCAAAGCCCTAACCAAGATCCTCTCTTTCCTCAACCACTTCCAAGATGCCAAAGATGAAGCCCTAGATCTCCACCTCGACGAGCTTCAGCACCAATCTCGTATCATTATATGATTTATAACTTCCCCAATTATTGGTTCATCTCTTACAATGTATCTTACTTATTGTAGAATTGTGATTGTTGGCAGTGAAAGCTTCAATATTGGACAAAGAACTTGTTCATCAAATGGTGAGCCTTCTATGGGAAATTGAAGTGGTTGCTGCAATGGAAAGAACTCATAGTAGTGATACCCAGGTATCTACGCTCCGTATAATTTGATGCCTTTGACATCTCACAGTTCCAATATGATCCTCTCAACAAAATCTTCTACAAGTGCGTATAATTGTGTTTTTACAATTTCTTTTTATTAAATTGAACTAGCAAAAATTCAATCATAATTTTTTTTGGGTTGTTTTCCTTAGTTTTGTAGCACAAGTAATTGGATTGTAACATGTTTTCAAAAAAAAAAAAAAAAGGATTGTAAAATGTTGAATTTCATCATAGCAATTTGAGTTGTTTATTTGGGCTTGTGTTTTGAGATCAACATTATTATGGCATGATGTGAGATGACCCAATTGCTTTGGAAACATCTCGACCTGCAGTTCGCCACAAGTTCAAGTAATTGTCCTCCTTTTTTTTAATATCAATTAATGAATTATTTTCAGTTATATTCCTCTCTTATTCGGATTCCTGGCTCCGTTGCTGTCCATACCTAACTTTCGCTTTCACGTCCTTCTCAAAGCATGTAATTGTTCTTCTCAAGGCATGTAATTGTTGTCATTCTAGTTCTCATTCGAGGAAGAAGCCCTAGGCCCATCATAGACCTCCATTTCAAGTTTGCTCCTTTTGGAGTTGTTAAGTCTATGGCCAAAGGCATCGTGATCCCTTTGACTATCATTCAGAGGGAACATGTAGTTTTGATGTTGCTGAAATTGAAGATGATAGGCTGAAGGAACCATGGTTGCAGTAGGGTTTACAATCTGGTGACAATTTTTGAGTTTGAAGTTAAAGTTGGTTCCACTAGAAATCGAATATTGAGAACCGGAGACGAACGGTGCTCTTGGACCACCTGTGAATTGTTGCACCACGACTCTAAAATTGGTCGTGTCCATGTTGAGTAGGGTGGTTGGGGTTCGCCTAGAAACACTCAACCGCCTTCGAACAGGGTGGGGGGAGATGTGAGAGTGGTGGTTGCGGCGGTGGCTTCGAAAACTCGACAATTAAATATAGTGGCCAGGGTAGTTTGGGATTCATGGTAACCAGGAAAGTTGTGGTGGTAGACTTGCATCCAGCCCGTGGGACAAGATATGTTTTCACTGGTAGCCATAGAAGACAATGGTCAAGTATTTGGTGTGAAGAGAGGAGCAAAAGCACTGAGTCATGGTATTTATATAACTAACAAACCTCGTGTGAGACCCGATCATGCATTGCATGCATATTAGCATAATTATGTGGGCTAAATTATAATTATGTGAAAATACTTAAGGGTTAATTTAAATAAACCCTTTATAGTCATGATGTGTGTGAGCATACATCAAGTATGTGGAACGCGTTAGTGACGTATTAGTGAGACCTATTTAGAGAAATTGAATGTGTGAAAATAAGAGTAGTTTGATTTTGAAATCACTTAAAAACTTTAGGGGAGGCAAGTGTAATTATTAAATGGGTGAGTCATCTTTAAAGGCCAAGTGTGTGTGTGTGTGTCGTATGTGTATGTGTTTAAAGTATAGAGAGTGTGTGTGTGAAATATAAAGTGTAGAAGTGTGTGTGTGTTTTGGTTTGTTGAAACTATGAGTGAGAGAAGAAAAATAAATATGTGTGAGTGTTTGTTAAGCCGAGAGCAAGGAAAGAGAAAATGAGAGAAAAAAATTAAGTTTTGGTGGATTTCTAGCTCAAACCGAAAGGGAGAAGAAAGGGGGGGGGGGAAGGGAGCTTTCATGCCGGACCAAGAGTGAAAGAAGGCAAGAAGAAGGTGGGGAAAAAGAAGAAGAAAGCAAGAAGAAGGTAAGGGTGTGTGTGTGTGGTTAATTTTAAGTATGTGTGTATTTGTGTGGGCTGTTTTAGTTTAATTTTAAAACAGATTTTGTGTGGGTTTATTTAAGTGTGTTAAATATAATCAAAGGCTGTTAAGAAAGGAATTTAAGTGGGTATTAAACCGAGGGTGAGAAAAATGTGAAAAATGACTATTTAAGATGTTCGGTATGCTTTTCGCGGGCTAGATTGAAATCGAAAGTATGAGAGTGAAATAGGAGGTTAAAGGGTTCAATAAAGAGACTGTTTTTCACGATTAAATGTGTGTGTGAGTTTGAGTGGAAATGGGTTGATAAAGGTTGGAAATGTGTGTCGATAATACCGAAACCCTGATTTATATACGTTATTATCACATGTGTGAATTTTAATGCAAATGACCTGAAATTTTGTATGTTGCATTTTTAAATGATGCTTGATGTAATAATGTAAATTTCAAATGCAAATGAATATAATATCCGATGTGAAATGTATGAAATGCCAGAAATGCAATTTTTAGAATTCATGGTCGAAATGTGTGAAAATGCCCCCCCGGTAAATGTGTTTGACCTATTTAATCTTAATTGTGATTAATGTGAGCGATTTTGGAGATTTGGAGAGAAAATGTGATTCCTAAAGCTAATGTGCCAGTGTATGACTGAACAATGCGAAAATTGGGGCTATCGGGGCTATTGAGGCACTTTGGGTTGAATCATCTTGCATACATTAGTCCATAATTAATTATTCAATGTGCTAATCATATTGATATTGTAATTATAAATGTGTTAGATGGAACATGTAGGATAGTCGATGTTAAGACAGATACAGTAACACCGAAGGGATCCACCGGTGAGTCTGAAGGGTCATAAATCTGTACACTTGAGGTGAGTGTATATTTTTATATGCTTTGAAAATGTTATTATAAGATGATAGTAATGATAGAATTTAATAGCATTTTTCTAGGATTATATGTTATATGTTTATGTAATTGAATGATGTTTTGTATTATATATTGTGTATTGTGTATTGTAGAATATGACACAATGTTTGAGACAGGAGCGTCAATGCCTGATCACTGGGCGTGTAGTTGTGTGTTAGTACTATGGTGTTCTCGAGAGGTTCGGGAGACACGGATTCATGTGGGATCGACTACCCGATGAAGGGTGGTATGGATGTATTGTGACTTGTAAATTCTTTGAAATTGTATTGATGTTGTTGTTTGATACGTGTATCTACGTAATATCTACCTATTTCTGTGTATTACTATCATTTTCATTTCATACACAATATGTATACTCACTGAGCGCGTGATTTAGCTCACATCCTTATAGGTTCTCCTTTTCAGGTACTATAGAAGGAGTTACAGATCAATTCACTGTCCAGTCGATTGAGTATGTCCGTTAATTATGTATTTAGTTTTAATGAGTTGAGTGATACAGGTTGAGTGTCTGTATAATTATTTGATGGACTGTATATTATATTGAGTGAGAGATAGTTATAGCAGGTTAATGATGTATAATTATAAACAGACTGAACAAACATACTTTGTGATGTATGTTATGTGAGTGTGGGATTGTGTATATGCTTATAACCTGGAAAACAAACAAATGGTACATGTGTTATATATGGTACAGATTATGAGTCAAGTATTACCATCATGTTTAATGTCTAAAGTTATAAGTGGTGATGTTGCACCTATGAGATTATTTGGTATTTTATTAATCCAAGTTATAAATGTATACAAGTGTATCAAAAACCTAGTTACGTCTTATCCTTGGAAGACCGGGATGGGGCATGACACCACAATGTGCGTTGCACATTAATATATTTAAATAATAATTTTATAGTTTAACTTATATTTGTAATCTATTTGAATAATAAATTAAGTGCTGAATAATTAAATTTTATATTAATTATTACTAAACCCAATTATTAATTTACTTTACTCTTCTTTGAGTACTTAATGTATTAATTTAATAGGTATCTCTTGACTTCTTTAAACATTTTTTCTCTTTTGTTTATAGTGAAATTTTATTGTAAAATTGTCATTTTTGAGTATTTATATATCTATATGTATTTTTATATTTTATTGTCAAAGAGATTGATTAAATTGTAAACTATTGTTTGTATTATAATATTCTGATATTGTTGCATAAAAAAAATTAAATGTGAAATATATTTGACAGTAAAATTTTATTTGCCAACATGTATATAATAATATTATATAGATTGAATTTTATATTTTTACATAAATAGATATAGATATAGAAATTATATGAAAGTGTATTACCAATAAATGAGTAAAAAAAAAATTTAGAAGTTAAATACTACTAATAAAAAAGGTCTAAAAGAACTTAGAAGTCTAATAGATATAAAAAACATTACAAATTGGATGAAAGTAAATAAATTGATATAATTAACTTTAAAATAATAATTAAGAATTAAATCAAAAATTAAATTTTTTTTATAGATGCACATTTATAAGTAAATTTTAGATTTTGATGACAGACAACACAATTCCGAGTCAAAGAAAAGACTTTTTGGGTTATTTTGATTATCATAACCCTTCCTTTCTGTGGAGGAGATGACACGTGACTAGGCACGTGGGTCTATGTCGGAAAATGTTTGGCATATGGTCAGGGCCGGGCCAACAGCAAGTCCAACAAAGCCTTTGCTTCAGGTCTCACCCTTATGGAAGACTCCAAAATATGTAGGTGTGGTTAGAACAAACAAAAAAGGAAAAATTGTGAAAAAAATACACTATGCACTACTTATTTGTGAAGAAGTTAAATCTTCTGTATATAAGTCTTTTTTTGTGTAAATATTTTGTGAACAGATACAATTTAGCGATTTTTTAACTATTTCATTTACTAAAAACTTTTTTAAATATTACAGTTCTCTTTTCAAACAGTTTTTAAAATCTGTTCAATGTTCTAACCACAAGTAATATTGTGTAACCATAGCCATCGGCGGCTAGTGAAAGTTAGTAAGACTCACTAAACCAACCATCCACATTGATTTCATATAGTAAAATTGATAAAGAGTTTTGGAAAGTGTGACATTGTTCATCACCCACTCCCACCCGGGGGAGGGGGGATAAAAGGGCAGAAAGAGGAACTTTTGTTTCCCTACAAACAAGTAAAATATGGACTCTGCCGTATATAAACAAATGATGAGGTCTTCCGGGCTCTTTACATTACAACACAACATTTCTAGAGTACTTATTTCGGAGTTTTCAATATGCCAATGAAAGATTAATAAAAGAAGAAAAT